TAAAAACATCAAAATGTGCCAGGACACCTTTACCCCCTTTCCCCCCAACACACACACACACACACACACACACACACACACACACACCCCTAACCTTATTTCCTCTACATGCTCAGTCACACAGATCTTATTGTCAAGTTTATGATGTTTTCTATGAATAAATGGATCTATGCAAATGGAGGTGTGCAGGGCAGGAAGGTTTGATGGTTGTTGTGTTTTTTCACAGATGGTCATATACTTCGTCATGGACATGCTGCAGGGCCTGCCTGGGCTGCCTGGACTGTTTGTTGCATGTTTATTCAGCGCTGCTCTCAGGTACGGGACTTTCCCTCACATCAGAGACTGTCAGTCACTCTTCATATCAGCAGATCCAACATTTGACACACGGAAAATTTTACCCCCCCACCTTTTTTTTTTGCCTGTTAACTGTTTATTAGGTATACTTAACGTTCAGTTTTACCACACAGTAATGTCAATTTTCACAGTCATCAAATCTGGAAAAGCTGCAACAAAAGTCTTTCTTTTGAAAATGAAATAAATATATATTACAAACTGCAGTCATGAATAGGTTGTTCTTTTTTCAGAGGTGTAGATAGATAGTTTTTTGTTTATCAGTAGCGACTAGTGAGCATAATATTAATAGGGTGGACAAAAATTTCCTGAATCACATTTTCTGTAGAAAAAGACAGACATAAGTTTTTCAATCATTTGTTGTATTTTTCCCATCTCATTTAAAGAAAATAAAAATAAAAAAGTCTACTAAGATAAAATTTAATTTAATTACCTAAAAGATGATTTTAAAACTACAATAGATAATTTTTAATATAATAGACGCTCTAAGTAATATAGTTAACAATAAGCTTTGTTTTGAAGGGAAAAACAAGGAAATTGGCACATTTCCTCGTCTGGTTGCATTTTCCAAAATGACCTGTTATCACAGCGCAGCTGCTTTTGGATGAGCACAAATAGTGTCAAATCCATCCAATTATTTGTGTTTGCTGACAGCAGAACTTATCTGCTCTGAGACACATGTTGGTGAGCATTTGGCCCGGACCTGTTAACAGACCTGAGCCCATTTTGTTTTTTCTCCCATGGCCCGTAACCGGAATAACTGGATTACGGATAACTGGAACGGATCTAGGTCCGAAGTGGCCCACAGGTGCCATAAAAATGCATTTGGGCCAGATGTGGCTCAAATACAGAATGATTAAATGTCCTGATGCATCTCAGTAATCCAGGTAAAAAATCAAAAAAAAATTGTGTAGGTCTTCTGGACGGGTTCTTCTCTAATGAAACGTTTCGTCTCTCCTCCAAGAGACTTCTTCAGTCTGAGAGTTTCAGGCAAAATTCAGGCTTTTAAGCACTGCCTCCATGTGACTGATACTCACATCACATGGCTATCGTTGACACCTAATTAACACCTATTGTTAACGGGGGAGGAGTGATACTGGCAATAGCAGCACTGTAGGAGGGGGACAACTGAAAACGGAGGCCTCCACCTCTGTTTAATGATGGACGGTCTTTCTTCACAAAAATGGCTTCTTTTACTCCTCTCTCAAACCAACGTTCCTCTCTATCAAGAATGAGAACATCCTCATCTCTGGAAGAGTGACCGCTGGCCTGTAAATGAGTGAAAACTGCAGAGTTCTGGCCATTAGATGTAGCTCGTCTGTGTTGGGACATTCTTTTGAACAGTGGCTGCTTTGTTTCCCCGATGTATAACTGGTCGCAGTCCTCCTGGCACTTAACAGCATATACAACATTGCTCTGTTTGTGCCGGGGCACCGGATCTTTGGGGTGAACCAGCCTTTGCCGTAATGTGTTTTGGGGTTTGAAAGCCACTGGGACATCATGTTTAGAAAATAAACGTCTCAGTTTCTCCGAAACACCCGCAACATACGGAATGACCACTGGTTTGGGTCTGGGTTTGGGGTCWTCATTTTCACCTGAAGGTTGCATGGAATCCTGTCTGTGTTTCCTGTCTGCTTTCAGGAAAGCCCAGTCAGGATAACCACACTGCTCCAGGGCCTGTCGTGTGTGTGATTTCTCTTTCTSCCTGGCKCCTGGGTTTGTAGGGACACTGTCTGCTCTGTGGTACAGAGTYCTGATCACTCCTARCTTGTGTTCCAGTGGGTGGTGGGAGTCAAAAGGCAAATATTGGTCTGTGTGGGTGGGCTTACGATACACGCCAGTTTCCAACCGTCCTCCATCCGAAACCGAGACATCGCAATCCAGGAACGCCAACCTGCCATTTTTTTGAATTGCCATTGTCATTGCCACTGCCGTTGTCAGAATTTTGCCTGAAACTCTCAGACTGAAGAAGTCTCTTGGAGGAGAGACGAAACGTTTCATTAGAGAAGAACTCGTCCAGAAGACCAATAGAATGATTAAATGTTTAGACTGATTTGGTCTTGAAGCTTACTATAATGTAAACGTCAAATATAAATGCCAGTTTGTGAGTGTGCGCACCATCAGCTGAACCCTGCACAACACTCTGATTAAAACTTGTGGATCTGGTGACTTGTAAACTGATTTGGTCCAGATCTGGGGTGGGACCAGCTGACAGCAGGGCCATAAAGTGGGGGATGGCTTAAATCAAACATCAAACGTTTAGTGATCTGTTCCAGCACCATTGCCCCTTACCCTGAACCTAACCCCTCACCCAATACCAACCTTTTAACTCGTGGGGACCGGACTTTTGTCCCCACAAGGTGGGTCTTTATAAGGCTGTGTGTAACAGGAAACTAGTCCCCACCAGGTAACAAACACATACTGCTTTTATCTAGTCATTTGTTGTTGTTAGCTGGGCTGTTTTTGCTTTTAGCTTGTGTTTTGCTGCTGTTAGACACGCTGTTAGCCTTTTGTTGTTTTTAGTTAGCAGTTTGCTGTTATTTGTCTTTTGTTGATTTTAGCTAGTTGCTGATTTCAGCTAGTTTTTGTTGCTTTTAGCTAGTCTTTTTCATAATTGTTAGACTTTTGCTCCTATTAGTTCGTCCTTTGTTGCTTTTAGCTAGTCTTGCTTTATATCAAAATCTCCTTATGGTTCCCCTCACACGCTTTAAGACCCGTGGTGACCGGTCCTTGTCCTCTGTGGCCCCCAGGCTCTGGAATGAACCCCCTGTTAATCTGCGCTCCCTTGATAACATTGTCTCTTTCAAGAAACTCCTAAGAACCACTTTTTTACTCAAGCGTTTAGCTAACCATTCACCATTACTGCCAGCCTACCTCCATAGTGAATGCTCACCAACTATGTGTTTTTCTATTATTGAACATACAGTATATTTTTCTCTCCCCCGTTCTCCATGTTTTAAAAGTTTTATTTGCTTGTTGATGTTTACTTTTGTGAAGAAAAACTGTGATTATAAAACTCCAAAACTGGAAATAAAGACTAAAACAAGCACAATTACAAACTACATGTACTGTAGTGTTATCCCAAATTATTAAGTTATTTGCTTTTTATGTCACATAATAAATATGATTTTGGTCTGTGAGAGGAAACTGGAGTACCTGGAGAATAGAAAGTTGTTCTAGAACCTTCTTCCTTCTTATATGTTGCTCTACCAACTGTGCCACTGTACTGCCTAGTTTTATATTTCTATACTGTTAATGATTGTACAGCACCTTGTGAATATATCTCTGTGAAAGGCGCTTTATAAAAAAAAACTTTACTTACTTACTTACTTCTTACTTACTTAAATACGAGCTTACAGGACTAAATAACAACAAACAGGTTTATATCAGGCATGGCAGCTTTGTAGTGAGTTTCAGAAATTGTTGAGCACAAAGAGGATTGATAAAATGAGTTTATTTTGTGAAATGTTTAGTGATTTACAAGAGGCAGTGTCCATCACACATTACTGGGTCGTGCACCACGTCAGCCCATCTGAGTTCAGCTTCACCTTTCCTGTTCCGGCTTTACTCCGTTTATTAAAAGCTTCAGCTGTGATTTAAGAACTGATCTGTGTCTGCTTCATTGAACTGTCTTTTGGATGGGCCAAATATTTGCTCTGCAGGACAACAGCAGCAGCTCATGAAAATGTTGAAGAGTTCGACCTGCCCTTAAGATAAATATAAGATTAAATCAAACATTTTTAATGTGCACTGTTTTTGTTTTTATCTAGCACTATTTCCTCTGCCTTCAACTCTTTGGCTACTGTGACGATGGAAGATCTCATCAAACCACAGTTCCCCTCCATGTCTGAGGCCAGAGCCACTCTGGTGTCCAAAGCTTTAGGTGAGCTGTCTGACGCGTCAAACTGCTGCTGCGAAGCTGATAGCTGATCAAATGTTTGAACTCATGTCTCCACAATCAGCTTCGTCCTATGGACTGCTCTGTCTGGCCATGGCTTATCTCACTCACCTGATGGGCGATTCAGTTTTACAGGTAAGCTCACGTGTCGTCTGTCTGAATTACAGTCCACATTTCTGGCTAAATTTGCTGTAATGTTTTTAACTTTAGGTGGCATTGAAAATCTTCGGGATGGTTGGCGGTCCGATTCTTGGTGTGTTTTGTCTCGGGATGTTCTTTCCATGTGCCAACTCCACAGTAAGTTAAACCTCCTCAGACAATCATTTAGTGTTCAATAACTGAAGTCGAGATGAAAACACACAACAGTTGAATAAATTGAAGTGTAAAAGGAATGAAGACCATACAAACACCAGTGACTGGAATGTGAACAATGGTTTAATGCTGTTTAAGCAAGCAGGAAACCAACGCTGACAAGAAACCGGAAGTTCCAGCATTTATACCCTTTCTTCAGTGACCCGCCCTCTACTGGCCTAAGGCTGAATCACAGGCACTCTGAACAGCAATTACTCACCTAATGTTTTATAAACGTTTCTTATGTGTTGTAAAAATGTTTCGGGCATGTATCTAAACTATTTTAATCAAGACATACTAATAGTTAAACAGTGGATTGTAACAGTCAATACTTAAAAAGGAAAACTAAGAAAATGGTGTAGTCCTTTTAGGGCTGCAACAACAAATCGATAAAATCGATTATTAAAAGCGTTGGCAACGAATTTCATTATCGATTCGTTGTGTCATGTGATTTATGCGTCCCTCGCCGTGTCACAGAGCCGATTACATCACCCGTACAGCGTTGTCAATACTGGCTGACCTAAATAAAGTTTAGGAAGAAAGAAAAAACTCTACCTGTAAAGAGACGCCCTCTCTGACTCTCGGGTGAAAAGCAGAGACTACGAACTTTAAAACAGTTTTTAAATCATGTTGTTAGGCCAAGTAGACCCAAAGATATGATAAAAGGTATATGCTAAATTTATTCTTTTGAAAAGACGGTCTATTTGAGCTGTGTCGCGAGGAGGAAATACGTGCGGGGGGAGACTTTAAAGAGTAACTTACCCCAAAATTAACTTTTTTTAGCTGATAAACTGTCTAGAATGTGTCTAAAATVTTATATAGTACTGTTTCTGTGCTAATTTTGATGTTTTTGTGCATATTTGTTTAAATCTGTGATATTTGGTCTAAAAACGTGTTTTTGCTGCTCATATGGGTAGAGCAGTGGTACTGCAGGCTAATTTACATATTAGTTAACGGCTCTCCACGGTGACGTGTCTTCTCCACAGTTTCGTCACAGAGGCTGTGTTCTGGTATAAAAGCCTCTCTCTAAGACACGCCCCTGCAGCAGTCAGAGGGTGGAACAGTTAGCAAGCTTAGCATGATCGTCTGTTGACCTTCAGCCTCGGGTAGCGAGAGGAGCTGACTGCTTTTCTCTCTCTCTCTCTC